GGTATCGGGTTATTGGGTTAACGGTTCAGTAACGATTTAGAATTTTTTCACTATTGGGTTATCGGTTCGGGCCTCGGTTTGCCAATTTTGTTAATGGGTTAACCGATAATCCAATAAGAATTAATAAAATTATGACTTTACTTTAAGTATATACATATGCTAGGGCTTCAGTTCATTCTCTCCTATTCTTTCTCAGTCGCACTCTTCAGTTGCTTCATCTTCAATCTTTATAGACCTTACTAGTTACTCCTAGCGTAAGTCTTTAGTATTATACATTAGGCTTTTAATTTCTATAACGAAATTCATCTTCAAATTGGTACTTTTGACTGTTAATGATTTTTTTTATTTTCGTTCCTTAATTTTGTGGGCTCACGTAGTGCAGCCTATACCTACTACCAATTTCTCTTCGCACTTATCAATTCTCAATCGACAATCTTCGTCTGTTTCAGGGATATTTTTGAACATTATTCTTCTGTATAGTGCTGAGCTTTGACAACAGGACAATATTTTCTTGCCTTCTAGGTGTTTTTCATTTCCGTGTTAGTATTGCCCATGCACAGATCAAGATTTTGCTTTATGGTTTCTTTTTTCAAGTTAGGCATTTGACAAACAATATCCAGTTTATCTTGGACTGTTAGTACTATATGTTTGGACTTGTTAATTTTAAGGTGAAATGGCTACTACTTTGTATTATTATTAATGTATTTGGATAACTGTTGTTGAAGAATTAATACTATTCCAGTTGTGACCACGGGACATAACACAAAAATGGGTAGTATACTATATGTGAATTCATCTCTTTTTTGCTTAACTCCAGTGAATTGTCTTCTCTTTTTTGCTTAACTCTAGATTGAGTTATCTTATCGGGTAAACAGATAACCGAACAGATAATGATCGATAACCGATTAACCGATAACCGATAATCAATATCTTATTGGTACGGTTATCGGTTTATCAAATTTGTAAACCGATAACCGATATGCTAAACCGATAATATTCATAACCGAACCGACCGATGCTCACCCCTACCTCAGACCCTATTTCTAGATAACCCTCTCTAATCTCTTTCTTTCTTGTCCCAAAGTAACTAAACTTCCTAGCTACTTGTACACATATATTATTGCACTCTGTATGTCTTTAAAGATCCTATCGATAAAGAGGAAGGACAATAAGATGCAAGTGAGCTGCTAGTACAAAAATTGTGACAAAGGTATGGTCCAAGTGAAGTGGTTCGAAGTCACACTCTGAATGTGCTAGTCAAAAGTGGTGGGCTTGTTGGCCCATTGGACTTCCCCACCACCACACATTTTAGTGCTCTTTCTCTTGCCATCTACTAGAACTAGAACTATCAAGTCCCCACAAGCATGAGCAGACGCGGATAAAAGATTTAAAGTTTATTAATTCATATAGTAATTTCAAGTTAATTTATAATAATAATTAAGCTCGTCAGATATTTATCAATATACAGTGGATTTCTTAATATACTAGAGTGGTATGTCTGTGCATTGCACGGGCCCGACATTATGTTTGTCTCAGAACAATAAAATAAAAGAAAGAATCTAAAAAATTATGAACAATAAATTAAAGAAAGAAAATCTAGAAAATTAGTTAGCATTTGGCATGGATAAACCGAAGAAAGTTGTCAAGCACAAATTAAAACGTTTTATTTACTTGATATAACAATCTGGTAAACTTGAAATTCTAGACTTATATCTTTGCAACCACATATGATCTTTAGTGAATTAGTCTTAGGGTACGTGCTTTGCGTGTGTACCTATATCAGTAAATATTTAATTTTTAAAGATTACGCAAATATTGTTAAATATTGTGTTTTGACTTATTGAATAAATATTAAAAATTATAAGTTCCTGAAAATAACGAATGTTAATCTCACTAAGCTAGCTCTATCAATAATTTTACTGAGCTAGCTAAGTGAGATTAAAATTCATTATTTTTAGGAATTTATATTTTTTTAATATTTTTTCAATAACTCAACTATATTATTTAATAATATTTACATATTTATTAAAAATTATATATTTATTGATATAGGTACACGTGCAACTAACAGAATATATAAATTATTTTTGAACTTTTTTCCTATTCGAACAATATATTATTTTCTTTATCAAATTTTTGTTATAATTAAAAACTATATTAATAATTAAAATATATAATTAATTAGGTACCAAATCTCTTAATTTTAGTAGTATATCTTATTAAATTATATAAGTCCCCAATATAAGAAGAATGAATGTGAAACGTATTTTTATTGAAATTTGTTGTCGGATACACAAGGAAAAGAAACGTAATATTACTTCTATTTCCCCAAATAATACCTACCTTAGAGTCCTTAATATTAGAACTTCTTACATAATTCAAATAAGGATATATTTAATAATAGAAAAATAAATTAATTTTAAAGTCCTATATATTAGGATAATAACCAAATTACAATTTTGTCTATGTAAAATTTATTTTTAACGGGTAAAAAAGGCGAACGATATTTCGCTAAGGATTTTCGTGCTTTTAATATAGTATAGATAGATATATTACTTTACAGTTCAAGATCGGTCAAAAAGGAAAAAATAAAAGACAAATTATCTTAACACTTGAGTTTGTCAATTTTAATTATAGAATAAGCCGCGAACTGGAAGAATAAAATGTAGGTTGTCATGTGGTCATGCATAATATTCTTATAGCCTCCGAAAAGCTAAAACACAATACGGGTCATGATGAGTATTGCTCACAAGACCGTAACAGATAGATCCATCAATTTTTAGACAAATCAGACTCTGTCAACCAAACTCAGAAAAATCATCATGTATATAAACACATGAAAAAATGGACATAATCATTAATTCTTATTTTATGACTCAAAAACATCCAAAAATTATGTTAGTCACGGTGAGTATTACTCACAAGATCGTAACAGATGGATCCACCAATTTTTAAGCCAATCAGAGTCCGTCAACCAAATTCAGAAAAATCATCATGTATATAAACACAGGATAAAAAGGACATAGTTATTATTCCTGTTTCATGTGGCCGTGCATAATATTTATATGGCCCCAAAATGCTAAAAAAAATAGTGTCATGTAGAGTAATTCTCAAAAGGTCATATCCAACGGATCCACTAATTTTTAGGCCAATCGGATTCCGTCAACCAAACTCAAAAAATTATTATGTATATAAACACATAGAAAAATGGACATAATCATTAATTCCTATTTTATGACCCCAAAACAAAAATAATCAATGTTAGTCATGATGAGTATTACTCACAAGGTCGTATCCAATCGATCCACCAATTTTTTGTCCAAAAGGAGTCAACCAACCAAATTTAGGAAAATCAACATGTATATAAAAATATGAAAATTAATATAATCATTAATTCATGTTTCATGTGGTTGTATATAGTATCCTTAGGACCCCCAAAACGCTGAAAAACAATGTTAGTCCTGGAAATAGCTCACAAGGTTGCATCTGATGGATCCGCTAATTTTTGGGTCAATTGGAGTCCATCAATCAAATTGATAAAATCGCCATGTATATAAACACATGATAAAATGGATATAATTATTAATTCCTGTTTTATGTGACCGTGCATTATATTCATATGACCCCAAATGCTAAAGAACTATTTAAGTCAGGGAGAATATTACTCACAAGGTCGTATCCGATGGATTTACCAATATTTAGGCCAATCAGAGTTCGTCAACGACTCTCAGGAAAAGCATCTTGTATATAAATACACGAAAAACTCGACATAAAAATGATGTTAGTCATGGTGAGTATTGCTCACAAGGCTGTATCTGATGAATTCACTAATTTTTAGGCCAATCAGAATCCATCAACAAAATTCACGAAAATTATTATGTTTATAAACGCATGAAAATTATTATGTTTATAAACACACGAAAAAATAAATATAATCACTAATTAATATTTTCATGCGGCCGCACATAGTATTCTTATGATCCCGAAATACTAAAAAAATATGTCATTTTTTAGGCCAATCAAAGTTCGTCAAACAACTCTAGAAAAGCACAAGGTCGTATCCAATGGATCCACCAATTTCTAAGCCAATCGAAGTCCGTCAACTAAGTTGAGGAAAATCATCATGTATATAAACACATGAAAAAATCATAACCTTTTTTTTGGTAAATAAGCTTTCTATTTATCTGAATAATTTGTACAAGTATGTCATCACCCTAAAGTTGGACATGCAGCCCCAGCTTTAGCGTGCATTTATAGCCTCTTCTACTAACTCTAACCTTCTGAAATCTTTACTACTTAGCATCATGTATCTTCTTGCACCTGGTTAGACCTTCTCCTTATTACTTCATGGATAGAAGTTTAGGATGGCCATCTTCTTTGCTAGTCTTGGTACTTTGCTTTCTCTGCAGTGTATAGCTTGTATAATCATCTTTACAATCACATCCTCTGATATACGTTTCACTACTGAAAAATTAGTCTATAATAACACATGGAAAACCATTCCAGTAGGTAGATAAACCATTGCCATAGAGATATTGGAAAGGTTTACAGACCGTTCTATCAGCCCGCGTGCCAATAGAGCTATAGGCACGGTTCTTGCAACGGTTTGCATCTCCATTGTTGTAGATACGTCTATCGCAACGGTTTTGCCCTTGCTCTGTTGGAACGATTATTCTTTCCAATTGGAACAGTTTAAAATCGTTACTATATTGTGTATGCAACGGTTCTTAACCGTTACAATATATCTAATGTAACACTTATGAAAGTTATTGTTACGGTTATGTATGGATATTGAAATGGTTTATAGGACATTTTGGAACAGTTTACCGGACCTATTGCAACGATTTACATTCTCTAATGGAACGTCATTTGTGTCCTATTGCAACGGTTCTGGTAGGCTATTGTAACAACTCATTTAAAATTGAAATATAGCCCATGTTGTAAATAAATTTTTATATATATAATAAATTATAATAACACTAAAACTTAAATACATCATAAAATGAAATTATTAATAATATAAATTGTCCAACAAGCTAATAATATCAATAAAGCAAATATTCTACACCAAGTGCATAAGTTTAATACATTTCAAGATAGTAAGTATCAGAATGTTGTTAACAAAAGATTCCTAGAACATTCATCTATAGCAATTCAAAATTAATCTTAAGTAAGGTCTAGATCTTCACTGCCTTCATCTTCCATTTCTTGATCTACTCCACCTACAAAAGAGGATAAATAAAGTCATTACCCTTCAAGAGAATCCGGTCGAAGAATGCTCATAGCACACCCAAAGATATTGAATGTCTGGACAAAATATATGGAACAAAAAAGAAAAGAAAAGATTGGCCATACAAGATGCTAGTCATGAGCCTAGCTTTTCTACAGATAAACACATTATGTAGACCCAAATTTAGATATCAAATGTGTATGCAAGCTACTAAAAAAGAATAACATAGCATATGTTACTGACCCTTCCCAACAGTAGTTTAGAGGAATAAGCAAAATTTATTAAAATAGAGAATGTTACAAGCATACCAGATCAAGATAAGAATGCAAAAAGTTAGCAACAACAAGATGATTTGATAGGAACCTATGGGAAATAGCAATGAAGTTTATTCTCTATCTTAAGATATTTAGGGAACTATACGAATATAGTCTTATATGTTTTTATAATCTTTCCCTAAATATCCTAGAACAGAGAATAAACCCCATTGCCAACCTAGATTAAGAAAATTATTCACTCGATGAATATACTCATCCGTCCATCTTAGGAGATTCATCCAACTTTTATCACCATAATCTATGGATATCTTATATAACATAGTCAAATCACCAAAATTAATATTCAAGCTAAGAAAAGTTACATCTCGATACTATATTATTATTACCAAGAAAAAATATAGCATATTGCTTTTAGAAAGAATAACAAGAAAGGTGTTGGACTACTATATTTCTGATTTTATAACCCAGAGAGATTCTTACTTAACAACGACCTTCATTATTGTTTTACTCTAGCTTTTTATATATTTTTCTGACCTATAATATACTTTCTCAATGCAAAACTAATTTACTCATGTTGAATTAATACCTAAAATATATCAATTCAAATAATCCATGTCGACATGCATAGTCTTTACAGTAATACATAAACAAGCACTATAATAAGAAAAATAATCTAATGAACCAAAGAACAAAAAATACATTGCATTAGTCAGTATAACGACATTGTATTTTGGCAACAAGACAATATACCTTATATCAAGGCATACAAACAACTATGACCGAGACTCAAGACGACTGGACATAATCAAAACATATATATAATTGGGTAGAACTCCAAGTTTATTTATTCCAAAAACACAAGAACCTGATTCAACTAAAATGAAAATACGAAAAACCAGCTCTAATTTTTTACTTTTTAAAGATTAATTTATGAAATAGAGATTAAACTTCATGAGATTAAGGAAATATAAAAAAAAAACACCTCTATATACACACAAAAAAATTGCTCAGAAGGAACCAAAAATAGCCACAAAATAAAGTATGAAAAATTAAACTACTTTCAGATAGCGAAACAAATTATACCTGCTCAAACTTGAACACTGAAGCTCCAGTTAAACTAACAAAAGTTAAGATTGCAACAGAAAAAATAGCTGAGTTATGTGACTCGTAATTAGACGAAGATATATCTCTGCACAATGCAAAGAAATATAAAAAGTCAGCATATATAAACAGATAAAATCTAAATTACAAACTTGTTCACAGAGAATCAATCCACAAAATGACAATACTTATCCAACTAAGTTTTGGATTAAGTTGTATGTTTCAGCTAGTTTTTCCGCACAAAAAATAAGCATCTACATGAGAAACCAAATATCTACAAATTGGACAAGTATGTTTCAGCTAGTTTTTCCACACACAAAACTGAGCCTCTACATGAGAAACCAAATATCTACAAATTGGATAAGTATGTTTCAGCTAGCTCTTCCCTAATTTGGACAACAACTAAAGAGGGAAGATTCTCTGTTAAAAGCAGTTACACTTTACTATAATCCTTTATAAACGAGTGACAGACATCAACATTGTTTGCCATATTTATCAGACAAACATAGATAGAATGAGGGCTTTTTTTTTAGAGTTTTCCCATATACCGTATGGTTAAAATTCTTGATAGATATACTAAAATGCAAACCCACATGAGTACTTCAGATAATCATAATTCAGAAATGCAAAGTACCTTTTTTTCATTAACTTCAAAACACACACACAAAATTAACCATCAAACAAATACAAAACCAAAATCCCACATGAAGGAAGCTTACGACAAATACAGAAATTTAAAAAAAAAAACCAACCCCATATGAAAAAAGTCAACTTTTTTCACTCAAACCATCCAACAACGAATAAAAAGCAAACACAAATTAACCATCAAACAAATACAGAAACAAAAACCCACATGGATAAACTTACAAGAAACAAATTAAAAAGGCTGCTAAAAATTAAGCCTTCGACCATGAGCATATACTCAAATTGAGACCCACTTTCAAGATTCATAAACTCAATTGATTAATTCATGAATGAGGCCCAAAATCGACATCCACAAGATTTAAGAAACTTTTGCAATAAGAGTATGTTCACCGATTTTTAGATTTGGAGAAACCCTAAAGGATTAGCGCGCCACTGCTGGTGCGGCCGATGATGGATGACCGGTCGATTGTCTCCTACTAATTTTCGGAAGAATAGAGGTGTTGGAACCTGGAGGAGAATGTTTAAGGACACAAATCTTATTTTTGTGAGTATGGCTTGTTCTAAAATTAGGGGTTTACTTATTTAGTATTTTATTAGATATAAAAACTAAAAACTAAAAATTAAAAATCAAATTGTGGGCCCGTTTAATTTGACCGGGTATAGAAAATTTGGGACAAAAAATAAGGAGGGAATTATTGACCGTCACGATAGCAAAACAAATTTCTCCAACTGTTACTATAGATATATTTATTGTCACGGTTATACAAATTGTTGACATATATACCTCTATCGGAACGATTTTTAGACTATTACAACGGTTCGGTTGCTAAAGTGTCCCGGTAGTCTCAATATTTATTTGTAACGGCTAAAACCGTTGTAATACACTATCTATAGCAACGGTTACTGATCCGTTCGATAAAAAGCATTTCCATATCCTAAATTTCTAGTAGTTTTTGTTTTGGAATAGTTTTAGGTTCTTTTCCTGCCAGATATAGTAGATGCTCCTAACTAAAGTCATTCTATATATTTCATCTTTCCCACATTTCCCTCGTGCATTATTTATTGCTCATATTATCTCCTCAAACCATCCCATTACAGCTCTGCTGACATCCTGCCATGCGAGTAGTCTTTGCCATATTCTAGATGCTATGTTGCATTCAAAGAATAAATGTTGTGTGATTTCCTGGTCTTGCTCACATAAAATACATATCAGGCTACTCTGCATCCCCCATTTGATGAGCCTATCTCTGGTATATAGCCTATTCTGTACAACCATATATAAGATGAAGGACCGCCTTGGACTGCTTTGATTATTACATATCAGCCTCCTCCAATGAACTCCAGAATAATTACGTCGCATGTTGTTATACATTTGCCTTATGGAGAACTTGTCCCTGATTATAATCTCCTCTATTGTTAGCCCAGCCTCCTCAATATATTTCCCTGCATTGAAGATCTTTTGCACAACCCAGGACGCCTGCTTTGGTTTTACTTCATTCATCATATTCTCCTTTATATAGTATGTGTGGACCATTTGATCCACAATCTATCTCTTTTCTGTCGCAGACTCTACTAGTGTTTTAGGATAGCTGCTTTGTTCCATGAGCCTATGTTCGTTATGATCAATCCACCAGCAACTTTAGGCAAGCATAACTTTTCCCAAGTAATGAGAGCTTTTTTGGAACATTCTGCAGCTCTTGTCCAGCGGTAGCTTCTGCAAATTGCTTCAATCACCTAAATGATCTTTTAAGGCAATATGAATATTTGAGACCAGAAATTTTGTATAGCTGCAAGTACAATCTTAATCAGCTGCAGCCTGCCTGCATAAGACAATAGTTTGTTGTTCAAGTAGTGATCTTTCATGTCATCTTATTTAATAGTGGTTGACATTGCCCAATTGATAGCCTCTTAGAGCTCAGAGGTACACCTAAGTATTTGAAAGGCAATGTGCCAGCTTGGAAGCCCAAAGTTTCAGGAATTTCCTATTGTGCAACTCCTCCAAAATAAATAGAGTTTTCCCCTGGTTAGCTACTAACTCAGATGTCTTAGAAAAACTGTCGAAACAAGCATACAATAACTTTGCAGATATCACATCTCCTCTGCAGAATAGGAGCAGATCATCTACAAATCCCAAATGCACTAGGTTTAGCTTTTGCACACCTAGGATGATAGTTAAAATCAGGATTATTCTTCAGAGTCTTCAGCAGCTTGGTAGAGCATTCCATTACTATTACAAAAAGATACGGAGATAGGGGGTCTCCTTGCCTCACCCCTCTCTTTGCAGCAAATGGAGTAGTTGCCTTACCATTAACTACAATAAAGTAGGATACTATTTGAATACAGGTCATAAGCCATTTCACAAATGTATTAGGGAAATTCAACCCAATAAGCACCTTTTCCAAGCCCATTCCAGTAACTTTTTGTATGTCAATCTTGATCATGCATCTAGGTGATATTTCTTTTCTCCCATACCCCTTTATTAGCTTATGGCTAGGTATAATATTATCAATCATCACTCTGCCAGGTATAAATGCAGCTTGTCCTTTATCAATCAAGTCATCTGTAACCCCTTCACATAAGATGGGTTCTTTACTTTTGGCACTAGTATAACAACAATTCAGTTTATTGGCCTGTACATGCCTTAGGTTCAAAGAACTTAAGCATTATATTGGTCACCTCCTCTCCAACTATTGTCTAGGAGTTTTTGAAGAGGCATGAGTTGAAACCATCTATCCCTGGCGCTTTAGCTTCAGTTGTCCCCTATAATACATGATATACTTTTTCTTTGTCGAAAGGTCTAATGAGTGCTTGTTGTTGCCTTCTATTAAGTATAGGACCTGAGTTCATTATATTAGATTGTATTGCTGGCGGTGTTGCATTTGCATTTCCTAGCAACTACTTGTAGCATTTGAGTATTTCATCCTCTATGCCCTTCTCTGTTTGCAACATTCTGCCTTCAGTAGACACTAAAGCCTTGATATGACTTTGTGTTCTCATATTCTTCATGCTTGCAAAGAAGTATGCTGAATTGGAGTCTCCTAGCTTTAGCCATTGCGCCCTGGATTTCTATTTTTTTTTATGTCTTCTTGTATCAAATCCCATTTCTCAAGTTATATCCTCAACTCCTTCTCTGCTTCAAATAGCTCCTGTGAGTGGTTTGGAGTTCTCATGTCTTCTTGTACATTTTTAAGCTTGCCTTTGATATCTTTGATGTCTTTGATTCTTTCTGTGTCCCCATTAAACTCCTTGACATTCAGTTCTTTGATGACATTTTTAACATGCTTCAGCTTCTCCCAGATGTCCTTCATATAGCGTGCACTATTAGTTTGCCTCCAGTTGTCCTCTACTACCTTGATGAAATTAGGGTGTTCTGCTATACAGTTCATGAATCTAAATATTTTCCTGCATCTATTTTCTGGCCTGCCTAATTTAATGCAGATTGGAGAATGGTCTGAGAAGATAGGGTCCATAACTTGCACTGATAGAGGTGGCATTGTAGTCATCCAGTTTGAGTTGACTATGGCTCTATCAATCCTACTATATGTGTGATTATTTCTCCATGTTTATGATCTTCCAATTTTTTGTAGTTCTGTCATCCTAGCTTCTACCATAAACTTTCTAAAATCTCTTGTTTCTGCACCCTGCACCTCTGTACCATGTACTTTGTCTTATACATTCAATATAGCATTGAAGACCCCCATTATTAACCAGGGTCCTTGCTGTCATGACTCCATTTGCTCCAGTTGTTGCCGCAAGACCAGCCTGTCCTTTATAATATGTAAGTCATTCACTGCAGTAAAGTGATATTCAACATTCACATCTATCCTTTTCACTTGAACATGTATGAATTGAGGGTGCATATCCAGTTCAGTTATCACTGCAAAGTTGGGGTTCCATAACAGCCATATTCTCCCTCTTTGTGTACGAGAAGCATTAGTGATCCAGTCCCATCCATGTGTAGTTTTATTAACTATGCTTGCAACCTTACTCTCTTGAGCTCTATGCACTATTATTGCTATAACACTATGTTATTCTCTCTAATAAACTCCTTTGCCTCCTTTTGTTAATACAACTTATTCACCCCCTCGAATATTCCAAATAACTATCTTCATCTTGGTAGAAAAGGAAATTGAGCCATGTCCTCCACTCCTATGCTACTTCCTCCCCCTCTTTATACTGTGCATGTTGTGGGTCCATTCTCTGTTGGTTTGCTTCTTAAAGGAGTGAATTGAAACCATTTATGCTAACCAGATGTTGTGTCTTTCTAGTTGGCCTACTTTAAATGTCTTCCCAGCTGATCGGCCACGCACTTTTGTCCAGCCTTCCTCACCTTCTTTGGCTTTCCCCTTATTGCTTGGTACTTCCTTGTCGTTTTTAGTTTCCCCTTGTGTTACAGTTTTGCTTTGCACTGCTTTCACCCATATTTGGTTTGTAGCCTTCTTCATAGTTTTTGGTTGTTGTTCCTGATTCCTTGTGGTTTGGATTTGTCTCACGTTGTCTTTTTGTTGGCAATGATTCCCTACTTGCAAGCATGTAGGACAATACAATGGTCTCCAGTCATATGTTATCACCTGTTCAAATATCTCTCCATTAGAATCTTCAACCAATCACATTTGTTGGCAATGGTTGTGTGACATCCATCTCAATGAGCATCCTTGCATATGAGACTCTTTCAACCTTTGTTGTGCAATCATCAGCATAAAGAGGGTTCCCTAGTCCACTCCCTATTCTGCTTAATGAGTTCATACTCCAATAATTGAGAGGCAAATTTGGAAGTTTAATTCATAAAATGACACCGAAACGCCAAAAAATGATATAGTCATGGCAAAATAATGAGTATTAGTCACTAGGTCTTTTTCGAATCAATCGTCTACTTTTTAATCACTTATAGGATCCATGTGGATGTACATAGCACGAGTAGGTTGCATTTGGCTATGCATATTATTCTTATGGTCTTGAAATGCTAAAATACAACGTTAGCCATGGTGTATATTACTCACAAGGTGGTACAATAAAAAACATATACAAAAACTATTGAATATGCATCCGAATAGGGATGGCAAATGGTGCGGGGCGGTATGGTTGCGGGGTAAACCCACGTAAACCTGCAAAGGTTTCAACCCGCTCCGCCCTGCAAAGTATAATTTGTTGTTTTTAAACCGCCGCGTCCCGCCCCGCACAAACTCGCCCCGCATATTATTATTTTTTGAATTTTTTTTTTCTAATTTGAGAATATTATCAAAAGATACCATATTCCAATGTATTATAATTTATATATTCTTCTTTTTAGAGAAATTTTATGTAATTTTTCTTCTTTTGAATAGCATTATCACTCTGCATCTAAAATAATATTTGTATAAGAAGTCTTAAATTTAAAATTCCTTACAAGATCAAATGCAAATAATTAACTGTGTTTTTAACTATTAATATGGCGACATGCTTTCTTTAACTCATTACTATGCGGGCTACAACGTCCTTGATCTTAAAAAATTAGATAAAATATTTGAGCAAAAAGAAGTCATAACACAGAAGTAAAAGAAAAAATCAAAAAAAGA